TTGGATTGTTTTTTTAGTTTCAATTTCATTTATTTCTTCTTTGATTTTTATTATTTCTTCTACTGGTTTTAGGGTTTTTTTTTTGGTTCTTTTTCTAGTTCTTTAAGTTGTGAGATTAGGTTGTTTCTTTGAGTTCTTTCTTGTTTGTTGATGTGAGCCTGTATTGCTATATATTTTCCTCTTATTGCTGCTTTTGCTGTGTCCCATACATTTAGGAAATTGGTGTCCTCCTTGTCATTTAACTCAAAGTATTTTTTAATTTCTTCTTTGATCTCTTCATTAGTCCAGTGTCTTCCAATCCACACTTGGATTTCAATCTCCATGAGATTGGAGGGTTCCTTGCATTCTTTTTATGGTTTATTTTTAGTTTGATGCCTTCATTGTCAGAGAAGATGGTTGGTATGATTTCAATCTTGGTGTATCTGTTGATGTTTGCCTTGTGTCCCAGTATGTGATCTTGGAGAATGATCCATGTGTGCTTGAGAAAAATGTGTACTCAGATTTTTTTGAGTTTCGTGTTCTAGAGATGTCTGTTAAGCCCTTGAGCTCTAGATACTTATTTAGAGCTTTGGTGTCCTTACTTACTTTTTGTCTCGTTGATCTAGCCATTGTTGATAGTGTTGTGTTGAAGTCTCCTACTACATGAGTGTTTTCTCTGATGTCTGTTTTCAGAGATGATAATAGTTGTCTAATATATTTTGGTGCTCCTTCATTTGGTGAGTATATGTTAATGAGTGTTATTTCTTCTTAAAGTATTGTCCCCTTGATCATAATGTGGTGACTGTCAGGGTCTCTTTTTACCTTTTTGAGTTTGAAATCTGTTTTATCTGATATAAGTATAGCTGTTTCTGCCTTTTTTTTTTTTTTGGTCCATTTGCTTGTAGGATTGTTTTCCATCCTTTTACTTTCAGTCTGTTTTCATCTTTTGTAGTTAAATGTGTTTTCTGGAGATAGCAAAAGGTTGGGTTTTGTTTCTTAATCCAGCCTGAGACTCTGTGTGTTTTTATTGAAGAGTTTAGTATGTTTACATTTAGAGTTAATATTGATATGTTAGTGTCTCTATTTGCCATTTTATTAGTCTTTTTCCTGGTTTTATTTATTTATTTATTTATTTATTTTTAATAGATTCATTTATTTACCCACACAAGTACTGGGTACAGTCAGAAGCGTGCGAAGGTAAGAGAACTCACCAGAGCTAGAGCAGGGAGCAGAACAGGCAGAAGGAACGAAGTACACTGCTGAGGGGAGCAGTGGGTGGCAGGAGAGGTCTGTGCGCCATGTGGGACCCTTGCCAGCGGCCGGGGATCGAACCGGTGCTACAGAGGCAGCCTCTCAACCTAACGCTCAACTGCTGCGCCACTGGGGAGGCCCCTTAGTTAATTTTTTTTTGATCTCGTTTCATTCTTATTTATCCCTCTGTTGGATCTGGCTTTAGGACTCCTTGTAATATTTTTTGGAGTGGGGTTTAGTTGTAATGAAATTCTGGAGTTTTCTGTTTAGCCGGGAAGGTCCTTATTCTTTCCTCACATAGGAAGGAAAGCTTTGTGGGATAGAGTATTCTTGGTTGGCATTTGTTGTCTTGGAGTCTGTTGACTATGTCCCTCCACTCTCTCCTTGCCCGTAGTGTTTCTTTGGAGAAGTCTGATGTCAGCCTGATTGGTTTTCCTTTGTATGTTACCTGTTTCTTCCCTCTTGTCATCTTCATTATTTTTTCCTTGTTTTGGATTCTTAGGAACTTTACTATTATGTGTCCTGCTGTATTTTGCTTTCATCATGGAATTTGGTGTTCTTGCTTCTTGTATGTCTATTTTCAGCTCCTCCTTCATGTTTGGGAAGTTCTCTTCAATTATTTCCTTGAATATTTTCTCTTTTCTTATGTCTCTCTCCTCTCCTTCCGGGATTCCTATAACTCTTATATTTTCTTTCCACATGTAGTTAGATATTTCCTGAAGTCTTTCTTTATTCTTTTTCCTCATACTTCTCTTTCCTTTTCTTTTTGGTTCTTTTTATTTCTGTGTCTTCGAGAGTACTTATTCGTTCTTCCATTTTGTCTATTCTGTTATCACTGCTTTTCCCAGAGTTCTTTAGCTCCTCCATTAATCCTTTGATCTCCTGCATTTCTTTCACTTCTCTCTTTAGGGACTCAATTTCATTCTTCCTATTGTTGATTATTTTTTCCTTATCGTTGTTTTCCTTTATGACTTCTTTCAGTTTTTTTAATAATGGCAATTTTAAATTCTCTCTCTGGAAGGCTCAGCATTTCTTCCAAGTCAGTGTTGTTGCATTCTGGTGGATGATTTTCTTTTTGTGGTATATCTTTTCCTTGAGGACTTGCTTGGTTGCTTGCAGTTTTTCTTCTCCCTGCTGCTTGTTTTCTGATTTGTCCTATGCATTGGGACACTGTGTCGCTGGTACTGGCTGGCATCTTTTTGGTGTGCTCTTTCTCGGATGTCGGTAACTGGTGGTCAAATTGAGTCAAAAACTGTTATGCCGGAAGTCCAGTAGGGCAGTGGTACTATGAATATGTTAGTGGTTACTGTCACAGAAAATCTTCTCCTTCTGTATTTGTTTAATTCCAGAGGTGGGTCTTGCAGTCCCACAGACTGCCATGGCCATGGCTGGATTGCCCACTGGGCTCCAAATCACAGGATCCCTCTCTGGGCTCCGACTGGCGGAGTGGACCTGGCTTGTGGGGGCTTTTCAGCTCACCTCTGGCTGTGGGGGCTGCCCTTTTCCAGTTCTAGGCAGTCAAGGTGGGTTCCAGAGGCATGGATACCTGGTCTTAAAGGCGAGTCAGGAGGGCACTTCCCTGTATCTGTGCAGTCTCAATTTTCTTTATTAAGTATTATTAATAATAGAAGTTGTTTCCAGTTACATATATTTTACATATATTTTCAAAGAATAAGTGATAGAATCTTTTTTTTTTCATTTATCTATCAGTTATATTTGGACACTTATTTTGATTGAGTCATTGAGAGAGCAATCAATACTATTCATCCGAATGTTGCAATCTAGGGGTAAGTAATAACCAAACACACCGCAAGAAATTGTTGAATGAATAAACACCATGTTCTCTATGGAAAAAATCATGAGGAATTATGTGTGCAAAAGATGTCTCCACAGTGAGAAATAGGATATTTAAGGAATAGGATTTTTATTTATTTATTTTTATTTTTTTATAGAGGCATGTTTTATTTATTTATTTATTATTTGTTTGTTTGTTTTGTTTATACATGCACTGGGTACAGTCAGAAGCACGGGAGGGTGAGAGAATTCACCAAAGCCAGAGCGGGGAGCAGAGCAGGCAGAAGGACTGAAGTACACTGCTGAGGGGAGCGGCGGGTGGCAGGAGAGGTCTGCGCGCCATGTGGGACCCTCCTCCGGTGGCCGGGGAGCAGCTGGGGATCGAACCAGTGCCGCAGAGGCCGCGGGCAGCTTCACAACCCAGCGCTCAACCACTGCGCCACCGGGGAGGCCTAGGAATAGGATTTTTAATTTTTTTATTTAGTTTTTAAAATTATTTCTACTAGAGATAATATTTGGAAACATCCTTCAAGCAATGGAAGCTTAATGCACCCACCACTTACCACCCAGTGTCACCACCTGAGTCCATTGTGCTTCCTTCCCCCATTGCTTTTATGCTTCCTCTACCCCTTTCTCCTCTGGATGCTTCAATTCTATAGTCATCTTTCAAGGGTAGATTTTATAGGTTGTCCTCACCTGACTCTTAGTTTAGTTGTTCAATATTCCACATATTAGTGACACCACCTTGACTTTATTTTTCTCCTTCTGACCTATTTCACTTAGTGTTATCCCTTCCAGCTCAATCCATATGGCCACAAATGGCATCTTTTTGTTTGCCGGAGTAATGTTCCATATATACTGCATCTTTGTGATCCACTCACTTGTTTTTGGCATTTAGGTGGTTCCCATAATTTAGCTCTAGTAAATAGCACTGCAAGAAATACTTTTGTAGTATATGCCACTGCCTCATCCACCAAAAGTATTTTGAAACCTTGTCCACCATATTCACATAATATTCCAGCCCTTAGAAGCATGCCTGGCAATACTGCCCATGATAATTGTATGCCGAGAAAATGAATGAACTGACCACTGGATACTGCATGCAGTCCATTATCTTGTTTTATTGTATAACATTTACTTCTTGGAAACTGTAAACATTTTTGTTTAATTCAAATGTATAAGGAGGAAACTGAAAATAGGGAGTTTACATCTTGGGGAAAATACCAACTCAACAGAATTCCACAGAAAGTTGTAAAATACTGCATGTATATTAGTCATGCAGAAAAAACAAGATATTTAGAAAACTGTGTAAATATGATGTCCTCATTAGATATGATGTCCTTGTCTGTATAAATATAATATCAGATAAATATGATAATCCTCTTATCTATAGAGACCAAATACTGGGACATTTTAGCTTAGTCCTTTGCTGGATCCTCCTCACTGAATTCATGTTTGATATAACATTTACCTTTAATAGGCCTTAGAAGATGGATATTTACTTTCACCTTTATTTAAAGTTGTAATGACTTCAATTTCCTGTTCAGTATTTCCTATCCAAATTTCCAAAAGAGAAATATGTTTATTAAAATTAGATAAATAAAAGACTGTTGGATAAACAGCAATTTGGTATATTTTCTTGTCTGATATAAAGTGCTATATATCATGATTTTGTGTTCTTTATAGATGTCCTTCAGAAATTAAATAGAAATAAATTGATGTTCAATTCCAGCATGGAATTAAACTTTAACATTTGGAATTCTTCACTTTCACAGTGTTTTTTAACATTTTATGAGCTTAGTAAGAGTGAAGACATTTTTTATTTGTAATATAACATTTCAAATATTCATTCAGAATTATACCTGTGTATAGCTTTATCAATAACAACTCTATTTTCATCTAACTTCAGATTTTTGAATGGGTCAGGATAAAAACAAAAACTTACATATATGTCATTATGATACATAAATAAGTCATTATGAAGATGTGTTTCTCTTTAAGAGCTTCATCAGTGCATTTTGCACTTCCTTATTTCTCAGACTATAAATCAGGGGATTCAACATGGGAATCACGATGGTGTAAAATACGGAAGTGATTTTCTCCTGGATGGCTGAGCTGATGGATGCAGGTTTGAGATACATGAACATGAGAGACCCATAAAAAATAACAACCGCTGTCAAGTGGGATCCACAAGTGCCGAAAGCCTTGGACCTGCCCTCTTTAGAGTGCATGCGGAGGATGCTGGAGAGGATAAAAACATATGAAATGATGATTGTCACACTGGTGGCTACCAGGTTAAATCCACCAACAACAAAAACCAAAAGTTCATCAATATATGTGCTGGAACAGGAGAGTTTCATAAGGGGGACGATGTCACAGTAATAATGCTTAACGATATTTGACCCACAGAAATCCAAGCTTAACAAACAACCCTCAAAAACCATGGAAAGGGTAAAACCTGCTGAGAAGACAGCAGCCACCAGCAGAGAACAGACCTGCGGGGACATGATGACATTGTAGAGCAGGGGGCTGCAGATGGCAACGTAACGATCATAGGCCATTGCTGCCAACATGTAGCACTCAGAAATAGCGCACACACAGAACAAATATAACTGAATATTGCATCCAGCATAAGAGATAGATTTATCTCTGCTTAAAATCCCTACCAGCATTTTGGGGATAATAACAGAAGAATAGCAGAAATCTGTAAAAGATAAACTACTGAGGAAATAGTACATGGGAATGTGAAGTTGAGAACTCAACACAATTATGGAGATCATGCCAAGATTTCCCACGATGGTAGCTATGTAAATCCCCAAGAAGAGGAAGAAAAGGGGCAGCTGAAGCTCAGGTTGGTCAGTTAATCCTGAAAGAAGAAACTCGGTCAATGTGGACTCATTTCTTATACTCATTCTCCTGTGGAAATCTGTGGAGAATAAAGAGACAATAATTCAGTTAGACAGGCAGAGACCCAGCTCAGCTCCCATTCCTGAATGGAAGTTCTCCTATCAACCTGGAGTCTGTTCTGTTCCTCTAAAAAGGACAGGTTCTCCACCAGGAAGTCAGCCTCAGTAAAATAATCAGTAAGCACTTGTCTACTATAATTTTAGGAATTATGCATAAAATTTCAGAAATAATACAGTGCCCTAAATTCTTTTACAAAAGTATAAAACTTAAAACTTTGTATTTATAAAGGAAACTACCGCTAAAGGTCATGGGGGAGGCTTTCTAAAGAAAATAAGCTAACATAAGGATAAAGAAAGTGCTGTGGCTGAGAAAACACTTTTGTTAATGGTAACACTTGCCTATGTGTGATCCTCATTCCAGGATTTCAACAGAGAAAGCGTCTCTGGTTAAGGCCAATAATGATTTTTGGATAAGGTTTCCAAGTGAGTTCAGCAGAGTATTATTAATCTGGTGGTGTGGTGATACCTGTATGTGAAGTAAGTATCCAGGATCCTATGATTTGAGATAACCAGAGCTAAAAAAGTTTCTTAACTGGAGGGTATTTCAGAACCTCCAAAATAATGTATAACCCATAATATTTTTGAAACTTCTTAAGGATCTTCTCCCCAACACTTAAAAAAACACATTTTAATATTCTTTGGCTCAGGGTAGTTAGAAAACTGAGTTTTCATTCCGAAGCATCCTCCAGTTTATCTAATCATAAGTGGTCTTTCTGGTCAGACTCATATTCTTCCTACACTTTAGTAAAGCTGGATGGTAGAACAGCAGGCTCCCACATGTCTCTGCTCTCTGAATCTCTGCCCATTTTCTGGGCTATGTGACCGCTTACAAGAACACTGAACAGGACTTAGTTCACTTCTTCCAGTGCTGCCAATATTGGCAAAGCAAACGACCTAGTTATTTGTGTTTCCAAAGGAGGTTCCTGTGTGGCACTTACCATTCTACCCAGAATTCTCCCAGGGGGGGAAAATGTCGCTCATGTGGGAGCTGCCTGTTCCAGGTTCAATTAGGAATTATGTCTGAAAAATATCTCTCTCTCTCTCTCTCTCTCTCTCTCTTTCACACACACACACACACACACACACACACACACACCCTCCCTCTCTCACTCTCTCTCTTGCTCACCCTCCACTGCCTTCTCTCACTCCCCCTACCTTTTTCTGTGTGTTTACCCAGAGATCATAAAGACCCCCACTTTGGCATCTGCTTTAGCAAATATTTATCTTGACCAGCCCAGCATCTACTGTCTCCAGGCTTTTTGAGAAGCTGTTCATGACTTCCTACTTCAGTCTATTACTGCTCTGTTAGGACATACTTCTTTGGGCCATTGCAGTTCCTTATGAGATTAGAGGCTCCTCCTGATTTCTCAAGTCCGTTTAAAACAAGGAAGCTTCCCAATGCTGAACATGTCTTCTCTGAGCAAGTTCTAATCTATAGAAAACTTAACTCTGGTATCAGCTTGAGGGAGGATGACAAAGGAATCATGCATAAAACAGATTGTCCCATTGTGCTTTGTATCTTAGCAGCATATGCTGGAGCCTTTCCCCGCCTAATTCCCTGCCAGTGACCTCACACAGGTGTAGTCTAGTCAATGTTCAAGATGACCGTGCACTTACCTTGAATTTCTTCATCCATGCTTTCAGTGTGTCCTTAGTGTTGCAGACAATGTCTACTCTCATGGAGAGTTTAGTTCCCTTGAATATTTCCTCTATCTTTGTTTACCCCATGTTCTCCACCTGTCTGTCTTTTATCCAAGCCAGCTGACTTCTTTTTCCTGCTTCCTAAACAAGCCTGTGCTGCAGGTCCTTGCAGTTTAACACATTGTTCACCAACTGGCCCCACCACCATCACTGGGAGGATGTGAAATGCACGATGTCATATCCTAAACCACAGCACTGACTCAGAACCTGCAGTGTTGCAATCTTTGGACATGATATTTCTGTACATAGAAGATCTATTGGGTTATTCTCCATTAGAGCTGAAATCTTATCCTCTTCTTTGAACCTCTCTTGCTCCTGTCTGTGCCAGAAAGCGCTGAATGCTCAGGTAAAGCTCATCATTGAAAATATCCTATGATGAGGCACCTTCTGGATGATTCTTCACAAGATTAAAATTGAACTGTACAATTTAATTTTTAGTACTTTGAGACCTATCCCCAGAGATTGCAGCCAGCATAATATGTCTTTTTTATAAGACAAATGCTATACAAATATATCATAACCTGCATAAACAGTGACCAATGCTTACTGGTATTGTTTAACCATCTGCTAAGTAATAATAATCTATTATGAAAGGTCTAAAATTTTTATGTTGCAATTTTGACCATTCTTAAAATAGTCTACTGCACTGATTTACCTGATTTAGGTCTCAGGAATTGTAGCAATTCAAAAGAAATTTGGTAATTAAGAAGTGTTCTAAAGCATTTCAGTGTACCCAAAGTATCATTAAATGATAACAATTAAGAGTATTTTATGAAGGTGGAATCTCAAAACAATTATTGCCTAAGAAAACTAAATTGCCAGAAATGCATAATTTATATATTTCTGGAGGCCAGTTTTTAAAAAAACCATAAAATAAACAGTTGAAGTCAATTTTAATGCTATAATTTATTCACCTGGTATATCCAAATAATCTCATTTTAAAAAGTAATGATATCAGAGCTATAACTAGGCTTTCACAATTTCTTAAAATATCTTTGGATTTCATAATGCATTTATGGTGCAGCACTCTGAAATCAAAGGAACCACATTTCAAATGTTTGGTAGCCACATGTACATATGATGGCTATGCATTGAATGGCACAGATGTAGATTATCTTTTTCCCTATCTGATTTCATGGTCAAAAATCAGTCTCCACTTTGTAAAGAAGAAAAAATTAACAGAAGTTACAGAAAGGACACTGAAGCATAAATACTATATTTAGTTTCAACACCAACTACATGATTTTCAGTATAAAATTTTACTCATCAGAATGTCTCTCTGAGCTTCATGCATTAATCAGTAAGAAAATAAACTCTTTAAAGGATTAATATACACATTAGACATAAGTTTGAACATAATTTGTGCATTGCATATATGCATAAATGTATTTGTAGTATTATAAATCTTTTTTGGGGGCTGGTGATTTTACAGATTAATGCACAAATTAGCCTCTAATGCCTTTATGCAAGGTGAGTGGACAACACAGACTGAGTCCAGATGGACATCCTAGGCCTGCTCTCTCTGTACCAAGGCTCAATGACCTGCAAATGCTCAGAAGCCATTTTGCTCATCTGGACAGAGCGATACAATATGGGCATCATACCTCTGAAACTCACCTTCTCCTTCTGAAGACATAGCTGAGTATCACTTTTCTTAGCCTCATCATGTTAGGAATAAGGATGATTTAATTATACCATTTCATCCTTCCACGACTAAACAATCATGTTACAAGAAGCAGATTTAAGTGCAACTGTAACTTCTCTAATCACTCAAATATTTCATGTCTGGGAATATAAGGACTAGGTGTTCCCAAGGGTTTCTTATCTCCTGGGGTTTAGCAGCCTGTGTAATATTTTCAAAATTGTTTAAAATTTATTATTGTGTAGAAGAATTTAGGTGTAGGCCTGCGATGCAGCGGCGGGGGGCAGGCTGGTGGGGGGGAAAGAGGATTCCACAGAGACAGAGTGAGGAGCAGAATGGGCAGATTTATTGAAGTACACTGCTAAGGGGAGCAGCAGGCGAGACAGGAGAGGTCTCTTGCCCCATAAGTGGGTTAGCTTCCTGGACAGGATCCAACTCAGGTAATAGTGGGGATAGTGCTGAGATTTAAGCCCTAGACCACTAGAGAGACCCAGACTGTATAGTTGTAAGAATTGTCATATGCTGGCCTATCAAACTCTTTTTAATATAAGGAAAACTGACCATGTACAGTGGTCACATTTCCAGAGTTATGCAATTTATTAATCCACCTTAAAGATGCCGCAATTAGGAGAATAAATGAGAAAAAGAATATTAATTTTCTTTATTAAGTATTATTAATAATAGAAGTTGTTTCCAGTTACATGTATTTCATATATTTTACATATATTTTTAAAGAATAAATGATGGAATTTTTTTTTATTTGTCCATCAGTTATATTTGGACACTTATTTTGATTGGGTCATTGAGAGAGGAAGCAATACTATTCATCAGAATGTTGCAATCTAGGGGCAGAGTATTGCCCAGACACAGCCTAAGAAATTGTTGAATGAATCAGCACCATGCTCTCTATGGAAAAACATGAGGAATTGTGTGTGCAAGAGATGGAGTGGATCACTAGTCCCCACAGTTAGAAATAGGATATTTAAGGAATAGTAGTTTTGTTTTTTTAAGATTTATTTATTATCCACATCCTCTGCAGCACAAGTTCGATCCCCAGCCGGCCAGGGAGAAACTCACATGGCGAGGCAGACCTCTCCTGTCTCGCCTGCTGCTCCCCTCAGCAGTGTATTTCAGTCAGTCTGCCTGTTCTGTTCCCCACTCTGTCTCTGGTGAATCCTCTCACCCCCCACACCTCTGGTGTACATGAATAAATAAATCTTTAAAAAAATAATAAAAATTTTCTTTCAAAATAGTGTTTTTGAATTTCTCAGATAGATGATCTGTTCTATGCAAACATCACTAATATAACATTGTTGCATAATTGTGTTATATAATCTTTAATCAAATTTGAATTTACTTTGTTAGACAGTTTAGTTATTGCTGATCAGTTGAGTCTTTTCAAATTTTATCTTACATCTTTTTAAAATTGGGAGAAAATTTTTGTTCTCCACAAAACTGATAAGGAGCTGATCACAAAAATCTACAAAGAGCTCACATGACTCAACAAAAACAAAGTAAACAATCCTGTCAAAAAATGGGCAGAAGAGTTAAAAAGACACTTCACCAAAGAGAAAATGCAAATGGCCAACAGGTGTATGAGAAAATATTCAACATCCCTTATAATCAAGGGAATGCAAATCAAAACCACAATGAGATACCACCTCATACAAGTGAGATCCACCTCATACAATGAGATACCACCTCATACAAATTTTTTTTTCATACATAATGAAAAAAAAAACTAACAACAAATGTTGGTGATGATGTGGAGAAAAAGGAACTCTCCTACAATGCTGGTGGGAATGTAAACTGGTCCAACCACAATGGAAGCCTGTGTAGAGTACCCTCAAATTACTAAAAATGGAGCTACCATATGACCCAGCAATTCTGCTCCTAGGAATCTATACAAAGGACACAAGAACATTAACTCAAAAGGATACCTGAACCCCTATGTTTATTGCAGCACTATTTATAATATGTAAGATATGGAAACAACCCAAATGCCCAAAAAATAGATGACTGGATCAAGAAGATATACACAGTGGAATACTATTCAGCAATCAAAAAGATAAACTCACGCCATTCGCAGTAACATGGATGGTGCTAGAAGGGATCATATTCAATGAAAATAGAAGGAAGAAGAAAAAATATCAGATGGTTTCACTTATCGGAGGAATATAGTGGAACCAAATAAGGGATCAGGGAATAAAATAATAACAATAAAAAAATTAAACAGGCAACTATAAGTCAGTGACATTCTGCAGGGGAGGGGGAGGCAGATCAAAACGGGAGCAAGAAGAGCACAAGGGACTATGGTGATGGTGCACGGATGAATAGGTGGTAGAATTCTATGGGGACTACACACCTGAGAGGAGAAAGGAAATATTTTACAAAAATGAACAATGATGTAAAATATGTATAAATAAATAAATTTTATATGTTTATATATATAAAGGCTATACTAAATCTATCTATCTATCTATCTATCTATCTATCTATCTATCTATCTATCTATCTATCTATCTATCTATTAAGATTTAGGATAGCCATATATATGTATATGGCCTATACTAGAGGAAAAATTAAACTTAATGTTGGATCATGATACTTTTGATTCTCTAATGTGGTCAAAAACAGATCTCTTTTCTGACTAGATGGATATAGAACTTGCATCAGTTCTCTGCACTCTGAGATGTGTTCATCCTTTAGCTTCCCAGTAGTTATTATTTTCTTGGCTGTGTTAATTTCTTCTGTATACAATGGTCTTTAGCCAAGACTTTTATTTCCTATGAAGATTTATGCAACCTCTGTGTCTGCTTAACAGCCCTCTGATTGGGTGCTGTGTACCAACATTTCTGAAGCCTTCACTGCACCAAACTCTGATATCTGTCTCCTCAACACAGATTACTTTTCCTGAATTGTGGTCTAAAAGTGCCCTCAGATGGAACATGCTAGGTGACAAGGTTCACCTCATTGTGTCTTTTCTACCAGGAATCACACTCCTGGGATACCTATTCTGCAAAATCTCAAAAGAGACTTAACATTTTTTTACCTGTTTTTCTAGTTATTTATGGCAGGTACTTAATTCTGATCAAAGTTTTTTTTTTTTTTCCCCATGGGCAGTGGGGAAATTTCTCATTTACTAATATTTTTTATTCTTTTGTTTCTAAAGCTGCATTTTAAAATGTCAATGTCTGACATGATCTTTCCGGCATATGTCTTCTTACGGAACTTCCTTTGCTACCTTTTTCTGCTCTTTCACGAGTTTTCAACCTTAATGCCTATTTCTTCAATATGCTTTCAGAGCATTTATTTATACCTAGAATTATCATGCTTGTTTATTTAATTACTTCTGTAATATATGCCACTCCCTCATCCATCAAAAGTATTTTGAAACCTTGTCTATCATATTCACATAATGTTCCAGCCCTTAGAAGCACACCTGGTGATACTGCCCATGATAATCATATGCTGAGAAAATGAATGAAGTAACATGTTGGATTCTGCGTGCAGTGCATTATCTTGTTTTATTGTGTAACATTTTCTTCTTGGAAACTGTAATAAACATTTTTGTTTAATTCATTTGTTTAAGGAGGAAGTTGGAAATATGGAGCTTACATCCTGGGTAAAATACCAACTCAAAAGAATTCTATAGAAAGTTGTAAAATACTGTACATGAAAGAACTATGCAGAAAAATACAAGATATTTAGAAAAGACTAAATATATGAATACTAAAAATGTATTTCCAGAATTTTTTTAAATGTTTTATTAAACTTAGTAAGTGTGAACATATTTTGTAATCACAATATAATATTTCAGATATTCATTCAGAATTATATCTGTGTATAGCTTTATCAGTAATATCATCTATATTTTTGTCTCACTTCAAATTTCTTTTAAATGGTCAAGATATAAACAAACACATATATATCATTATGATCCATTAGTAAGTCTTAAAATAGTATTTGTTATGAAGATGGTTTTCTCTTTAAAAGCTTCATCAGTGCATTTTGCACTTCCTTATTCCTCAGACTATAAATCAGGGGATTCAACATGGGAATCACAATGGTGTAAAATACAGAGGTGACTTTCTCCTGGACGGCTGAACTGCTCGAAGCAGGTTTGAGATACATGAACATGAGAGACCCATAAAAAATAACAACTGCTGTCAAGTGGGAGCCACAGGTGCTGAAAGCCTTGGACCTTCCCTCTTTAGATTGCATGCGGAGGATGCTGGAGAGGATGAAAGCATATGAAATTATAATTGTCATGCTGGTGGCTACCATGTTAAATCCACCAATGACAAAAATCAAAAGTTCATCAATATACGTGCTTGAGCAGGAGAGTTTGATAAGGGGAATGATGTCACAATAATAATGTTTAATAATATTTGATCCACAGAAATCTAGCTGTAACAAAAAAACTTCATAAATCATAGAAAGGATAAAACCTGTGGAGAAGACAGCAGCCACCAGCAGAGAACAGACCCGCGGGGACATGATGACATTGTAGAGCAGGGGACTGCAGATGGCGACATAGCGATCATAGGCCATTGCTGCCAACAGGTAGCACTCAGAAATGGCACACACACAGAATGAGAAAAATTGAATATTGCATGCAGAATAAGAAATAGTTTTATCTCTGCTTAAAATCCCTACCAGCATTTTTGGGATAATAACAGAGGAATAGGAGAAATCTATTAAAGATAAACTAGTGAGGAAATAGTACATGGGAATATGAAGTTGAGGACTCAACGCAATTATGGAGATCATGCCAAGATTTCCCACGATGGTAGCTATATAAATCCCCAAGAAGAGGAAGAAAAGGGACAGTTGAAGCTCTGGTTGGTCAGTTAATCCTGAAAGAAGAAATTCGGTCACTGTGGACTGATTTCTTATAACCATTCTCCTGTGGAATCTGTGGAGATCAAAGAGGAAAGAGTCCAATGAGACAAGAATAAACTCAGCTCAGTTCCCATCACCATTACAGGTTATCTTATTTACTTGGAGCCT